GCTCTCTGGCGATTTGCTGCGTCCCAAATACTCAGGGCCCCGTAGACCCGGACACGCTAGACCCGGACACCCAACATCCCTCGAAACTAATTTTTCCAGACGGCGGCACGAACAAATTACTGCACTGCAGCACTTCTAGAATAAACCCGGACACGAGCCCCAAAAACCTGCAAGACCCCCCCTAGCCCGGACACAAAACCGAATCCTGCAGTGCAGCAAACAAAACATGCACGGGTGCTGAAAAACGTGACTTTGCAAGAAAGGATGTCGTTTCCTTGGTTTTCCGTGTCCTGGTTTATCTGTGTCCTGGTCTCCGGGGGCCTGCAGTAGTTGCCTTCACTGCCCGCCGGTCCTTTGGCATGGCAGCTAGCCTTGCTGCGTGGCGTCAGATTCTGCGCCTCCAAGCAACGGCCCCAGCTGTCCAAGTTAAGCTCATCCATGTAGTTGTCCACTTTGGTTGTCGCCCGTTGGATGCAATATATCCAAGGCTCGATACCATCTGACATACTTGAAGAAGGTTCGCTTCCATTGCGTGGCGATGGGGAAGGTAAAGACGAAACCGAAGACGACGATAATGATGGACATGATGCACATGCTAAGCCGAATTTGCCATGTACGTAAACATCGACTGCACATGCACGTTTCGTGCGCCGTCGCCTAACACTTTTTTGGTCTGCGGGTCGAGAGCGAGCCTCTTCCGGTTAAAAGCTAGGCGGGCTACGCAAAGCTCTAATTGGGGTGACAGAGCACAGGCGGGCGGGGCCTCAGGTGTCCGGAAGGCGGGCCGGGGCGCAAGCGGTGCCGAGGAGCTTGCACAAGATAAATAACGCCTTGGACAGGAGCCGGAGGCGAAGATCCGGGCGCCGTCGCCTAACATCCAACGTCATGCGAAGCATTCGGCGTTGCGTCGTCTGGAGTTGTTGCTCCATTGCAACAGAAAGCGTCCAACTCGAGCAGCCATATAAGACAGTGGTCGTGACCATGCTCTCGAAGAGGCGGATACGAAATTTTAGCGAATCTGTCTTGTTGGTCAGCGCCGCCTTATGCGCCATGAAAACCGTTCCAATATTGTCGTAGCAAATGCTCGATTTCGGTTTCCAGTGCGCTTTTTGATGCCACGCGTTTGTTTGAATACTTTACTAGGTCTGTGATTGACGCGATATCGATTTGCATGTCGTCAACTGTAGTGTGCGTTCTTTTTCCCAGTCCAATTCCTTTCGTGACATTCATGAGGACTTTTGTTTTACCTGGGTGAAGAAGAAGACCCGCTGCAGCAGCTGACCTTCGGACATCCGACAACATCCGTACACTGTGTTGCCAACTGTGCCCCACGAGAAGGCCGTCATCAACAACATCGCAAATTCGTTAGAGACGCTTCGCTGAATCCAAATTCAATGCCATAGTTTCGATCTGCCCATTTCTGCTTCACGTCCCGGAGAATATATCCCAGCAACACATCAAAGATGGGCGAACTCAATGTATCTCCCTGCTTGGTGCCCCTGGAGATGTCGAAGGGCCTCCTGAGAATATCGGTTTTCATCCGTCCTTTCTGCCCCGTGTAGCTTTGTCAGCAAAATTATGTATGCAACGGGCACGCTCTGTCTCTCGGGGGTGATCTCGGGCAAATGTCCGTGCGTCAGCCTTGGGTTCGATGCGTCGATTGCACTCTTCGTGAACACTGGCGGTCCAATGGGGAAGGGTTGGAGCAGGCCCAAAGCCACCAGCAGCGTATCCCCTTCACCGCTGGACGTACGCAAGGCGGTCGCAACCTGATGCATCCAGCTTTGCCAGTATGACATCGATTGAGGTCGCCCCATGTTCTTCGGTGGTTGGCCCGTACAAGTGAATGCGGTGTGGCATCGTGATGCTGTTGCGGAGCCAGGCGTACTCAATTCAAGTCGAAGGTCATGCTTGTAAATGAATATTACCCTAGGCGTACACAGAGCGAATAGAAGTTAATCGAACAAGCCAGGGGCTTCCATCATAGGCCACCTTCCTGCGCGAGAAGCGAAACATCCACAGTCCCAAATATGTATCCCACCTCAGCTGGGCGCTTTTACATTCAATGCGAAAACCATCCCAACCCCAATCATGCTCGGATTGGGCCAAAAGCCTTCGAATACCGTTCGCCCTGCATCCTGGAACTGGATCCGGGATCGAGGAATGCTGATTCAGAATGCCGTCAGCACAGCGAACGGGCTTTTCAATCTTTTGCGCTCTCGCATTTGGGCCAAGCTGGCCCCATGGAGCAGACTTGTAAACGCGATGCGGTGTGTCCAGGAAATCGTCGCATCAACGTCTCGATCCGATAGTCCGTGATGGGCATGACATGGTGACACGTGCAACAACCATAGTCAGAGTCCAGCGTCTCTAAGATCACTGCCAATGAAGATGACCACTCTTCGACGCGCTTCGGGCAGCGAATAACGATACGACGGCCATCGAAGCTCGAATTGTGTGTCGTCATGCCAAGCTCCCACCATGCCGATCGGCGTATAAACACGTTGGGGGATACAGTACGAAACCAACCACAACTCATCAACCATCGCTGGTGATTGTTTGTTTTACGTTACCAAATTCGGAAGACCAATGTTTTTGTGCAGGGCTCCACGCCATCGCGCTACTCTTACATCCGATGCGCAATCCATCTCGTGACCAATCGTACTCTGCATATGCAAGGCCGCGTGAAAAACCATCCATCTATGCACTCTCCCGGAATTGCATCACTAACGATTGAACCTGGGTTCACTTCAAAATCAACAGCGCGGGCCAACTCTTCAATCATTCTCCCTCTCAGACACGGACTCAGCATTGACATTGGGACACCGTTGAATAGATCTGAAGCACGAGAACCTCAAATCCCTTACATGATGTATCTTAAATGACACGCGGGCAAGACACCCAACGCGCTTGAGCTCCGATCGCAAAACACTCCCACGTCTGGGATCGAGACAGCATATGGCAAACATTCGGGACGCCTGGCCTTTGAGCAACATTGTACATGTCACCCAGAACCCGCGCAATCACCAAGCTCTGATGGCTTCAATCTAATGTGTGTGTTTTCGGTTGGTGAATCGGCGGTGGTTTGCCAGACAGAACAGCAACACCTCCGCGAACATCATCAACGATGGGGTAACGTCCGGCGAGATTGCCTTAACTCAGGACTCGATCACCACGGAGCCGACCACTGGCATCTGGCGCTACGACATCGGCCAGTGACGAGGACGGGCACTACAAATACGCAACTATGTGGCAATCTGAGCCCCGGGTCTGCATGTGCAATGACATGACCGCCTGGCCATCCCAGCAAGCCGCAGCATACCCGAGCCGGGCTTGAGCCCAAATAACAAGACAAGTGTGGGGGGGATGGGGATAATGACGGTGGAGGAGGAGGAAAAGGAGGAGGAGGAGGAGGAGGAGGAGGAGGAGGAGGAAGGAGGGGAGGAGGAGGAGGAGGAGGAGGAGGAGGAGGAGGAGGAGGAGGAGGAGGAGGAAGGAGGAGGATAAGTGTGGAGGAGGGATCCAGTTGGTAGCGCCCTGCGGAGGCCGAGCTACCTCAGAGAACGGTCTGGTCCACTTCTCTGCTCTCCCATGGGAATCGAGATGCTACGAGCCCTGACTGCGACAAGCGAGAAGGTATGCGCCCCAACTGCCACAGCAATGGAGCTCTCACGGAGGAGGTGGAGGAGGAGTGGGCCATGTGGAGCAGGGATAACATTACGCATTGCACTTTTACAGAGAGGTGGGGGGGAAGGCCGATCAAGCCGAACGACTCGCCAGAACTACTCAGACCATGCTCCTCAGCACCCGCAAGATCATGAGCAGACGAGCCGACCACCAAGCCCATTCCTTCCGCTCCGCCAACCAGACGTCCCGAAGAGCTCGGAACCTGGGTCCATCCCGCACTGCCTAACATCTGATCGCCGAACCCCCCTGAGGCACAATCCCAGCGACGCGGAAGGCACGCATCCGAGCATCCGATGTCCTGTCTTTGTTCTATACGAGGTCCCCAGAAGTCCCGACCCTTTCCCACGGGCCAATTTTTCACTCCGGATATTTCTGTTACAAGCCTGCGGCCCGGCGAAGGCTCCCCAAAGGCCGCACACGGCCAAAGACCTTCCGTTGTGTTTTTTTTTTCGCGCCGCAGGCGTGTCTGGGGATTCGGCGGCGAACTCTCCTGTAGTCGCTCCGCAGCCGCAGATTTCTAGGCCCGACGCTACAGTGCGGTCAACGGGCGCTGCAGGCGCATTGGGCGCCATATCGCAGCCCTCCCTCTGAATTGCAGGGTAAAGCGAGGGGCGCGCCGATGTGCGCGGCGGAACGCCTTGCAGTCCAGCTGGGGGCAAGGGCAAGGGAGCAAGGTCCTCCTCCTCCTCCTCCTCCTCACTTCTGACGTTCAGCAAACTTGGATCGACTGGGATCGTAGCGTCCTCCTCCTCCTCCTCCTCCCGCTTCTCATCCATCTCGCCCATCCCCAGAGGACTGGTTGGGAGGGAGGGCAGGGGAAGGGGGAGGCAAGGAGAGAGGAAGGGACGTCCTTCTCCTTCTCCTCCTTCTTCTCCTCCTCGTCCTCCTCCTCCTCCTCCCGCTCAGCATCCTCCTCCTCCGCCTCCTCCTCCTTCTTCTCCTCCATTTCGCCCGTCCCACGATAACTGGATGGGGTAGAAGGGCAGGGGAAGGGGGAGGCAAGGAGAGAGGGAAAGACGTCCTCCTCCTCCTCCTCCCTCCTCCTCCTCCTCCTCCTCCACCTCCTCCTCCCCGTCCTCCTCCTCCCTCTGCTCCTCCAGCTCGTCCGTCCCCAAATGACTGGAATGGTGTGAAGGCAGGGCCTCTAGGAACTCCTACAATGTAAAAAATACCTGGACCTTTTTCGAGCCTGCGAATACTGGAACCCACTTCCCCCCTCCCCGATCTCCCCCACCACCTTCTCCTCAAAACAATGGGGGAGATATGAAGAGATGAAGCCGGGACACTCAGCGAAATGCCCCACAGGAAGCGCGTCAGCCCCAAAGGGGCTTGAAGGGCGTTGGCTGCTTCGGGCCCGAATACAAGTCCACGTCCTCGCCGCGAAGACATCGACAGAGTGATGAGAGCGCTTCCAAGAGAAAGAAGAGGATGACAATGATCCCACATCTAGTGACGCACAAGGGATCTCCGAATGTCGAACCAACCGAATGCGATTCCGTCGATCTGACTGAGAACTGCGCTCCACTCCACCGCTCAAGCCGCGGCAAATAGTTACAAGTCCGAGAAGCCTTCCTCCCTGCAATTTGCGGCGCCAACTTGCAGACATCCAGGATGTGTTTAGCACGACCGTGTCCGGCGAACGAGGAAGTGCGCGACGAGCCTTGCATCATCCGAGAATTCAGAGGCAATGCACCGATGCTCACGCTGTCCCAGGGCTTGCGGGTCCAGCCTGGACCAACCAACGCAAGATCAAGGGCGGGGCGGGGTGAGAAGCACGCCACCGCACTCCCTGCAGTCAACCCGTATCATAAGGACGCACGATAAGGATGCAAGGGCCTTGGAAGGCCATTTCGGAGCTTTTCGAGCGGGGCGCGGTCAGCGAAAGTGGCCAAGGATGGACCGAGAAGGCAAGGATGCGATGGTACCCTTGAGACGGCTGGCCATCCTTACTTTGCGGGGTGACTGTAAACCTCGGGCCCCCTTTGGCGTCCTTGGTCGCAGCAGGGCTCAGCTCACACCTCCAGAAATTGCTGACGTTGCTCGGTCGATGAGGCGAGGCAGGGCAAGCATCACGCTGACGCGCGCCATCGGGCCCCAGGCGAAGCGGTGGCCGCCCTGAGAAGAGTTTCGCAACCAACAACTTCATAACTTGCAAGACGTCTCAATCTGGTATGAGTATCAGAATTGGCAGATGGGGCGACTCCGATCGACAAGCTTGCAACAGAGTCCACCACATGATTGCGTCTCGCGCGGAGGATGTGATCACGGTCATCGACCGCATCTTCATCCTGGTGGACCTTAATTGTGCTCACACGCATGCTGGGCACGCTCGGCCGAATGAAATGAGCACATCCTGCATACAAGCGTTTGCGGCTAGCCTGCCTAATCGAGGGATGGTTAGGGTAGTCGACAAGACCCTGGCGGTCCAAGTTGACCCTCTAAGCAGCAATTTCTCAGCTACACAGGAGACGTGATATTCAGCAAGTTCATGTGCGTGGAGATCGGGAGGCCAGATATGCCTACGAAGGCTCACCATTTACTGATTAGAGCTCGGACCCGGTATGGATGCAGCCTAGCCTGCTAGGGACAACTCACCCCCAAGATATTTCAGACAGGAGCCGTGAACAACCACCTCACCAGCAAAATCCTTGACGAGCCAAGGGCTCACAGCCTGCCAGGCCACACGCTATTATTCGAAGAGCAGCATCCGGACGGACACGTCGGGGCACGGCTCGACTCCGTGGCAAGCGAAACTGTCGCCGGGCGCATTGCACACGACTGGACCTCGGACTTCACTGGATCAGTCCTGAAATCGCGACAACATGCAATCCACACAGGCCCTTCCCGAGGCCAGATGGACTCCCGCGTCCCACTCCAGATTTTCGGGCCAGTTGTTCCCCACATGAGAAGAAGCCTAACCATCGCAGGCGACATATGCGCGAGCTGGAGCGCGATCATTACGCCAAAACCAGCAACGGCGGTATGGTCCAGGAGACACGCTCAAGACTTCCTCATCGCACTGAGCGGGCCATTGACTCTCCGCCCAGACCCTGAAAGGACTCCGAGAACAGCTTGCCGACCAGAGCGCAGCGTGGCAAACGAAGGGGGGCGGAGGTGAAATCGGTGGAGAATGACCCAAACCTCCGTGGCCCACCGCCGGGTCATCGTGAAAGAATGTCTGGCGCTCGTCTGGATGGTCTTCCCGACCATCTGCCGGAGAGATAACGCATCGAGGCCGTTGCCTCCTGGAACCTCTGCGACACGGCTCCATGACGAGAGCCAGCCGCAAAGACGTTCCCACTTCGATGATCTCTTGCCGTGGGTCACTGAGGGGCCAGTCGGGCGCTTCGCTCCGACGCCTTCGGGGGCCCCTCCGCAGGCAGCCGCCCCTGGACACTACTCGGGCAACTGGCTCGGTCGTCGAACCCCAGAAGCAGGAGCAGAAGCTGAGTCCACCACGGGCCCGGACATGCCTCTCATGGCGCGAGCAAGACATGTCCGCAAGACGACGGGGAGAGGAGATACGCGAGGCCGTTCCAGGCTGACCTTGGAGGAGGAGGAGGAGGAGGAGGAGGAGGAGGAGGAGGAGGAGGAGGAGGAGGAGAATGAGGAAGAGGAGGAAGAGGCGGAGGAATATGGAAAGGAGAAGGAGGTAGGTGGTGGTACTCAGCATCTGGTCGAGTCTGCAATGCTTATCCGATTACACATGACCGCTGTGCGCATTATGAGGGCATGTCCCCTCGCGAAACTTGAAAGTCGGCACTCCCGTCGCGACTAGATTTCTAATCAGGGAACACCATAGAAACCGTTAGGGTCGAGAAGCCTAACGAAAACATCCCGAACGGTGCACCTCGGCACCAGATCCCGAGAGTGAGAAGGCAAGCGTCTCAATTCGCACACGCACACACACAGCACAGGAGCGGGGGGAGAGGGAAGGAGAGACACACGATGTGTGTGTGTGTGTGTGTGTGTGTGTGTGTGTGTGTGTGTGTGTGTACGTTTAGTTATGTTTTATCCTCTTGCGCAGGGTGTCTAGAGCTCCGACCACTTTATTCCGCGTCGCCCCCCCCCTCCCCGCGTCCCCAGCGCCAGAGTGGGACCCCCGCGCCGTGGCTCTCTGCCCCGAGCTCCCCCGCCCCAGCGCCCCAGCGGGAGCCCCGCCCACCGCCCCCTCGTCCACGAACGTGTTCCTCGTCGCACATCCCCCCCGTCCCGCGTCCCCAGCGCCAGAGTGGGACCCCCGCGCCGTGGCTCTCTGCCCCGAGCCTCCCCGCGTCCCCAGCGCCCCAGCGGGGGACCCGCCCACTGCCCCCTCCGCCACGAACGCTTTATTCCGCGTCGCGCACCCCCCCTCCCCCCGCGTCCCCAGCGCCAGATTGGGACCCCCGCGCCGTGGCTCTCTGCCCCGAGCCCCCCCGCGTCGCCAGCGGCCCAGCGGGAGCCCCGCCCACTGCCCCCTCCGCCACGAACGTTTTATTCCGCGTCGCGACGCACACCACCTCCCCCACCTCCCTCCCCGCGTCCCCAGCGCCCCAGTGGGGGCTCCGCCCCGTGCCCCCTCCGCCCCGACAATTTTATTCCGCGTCGCGACGCACACCACCTCCCCCCCCCGTCCCCAGCGCCCCAGTTGGACCCCCGCCCCGTGGCCCTCTGCCCCAAGCCCCGCCCAATGCCCCCTCCGCCCCGACCATTCCGCGTCGCGACGCACCCACCTCCCCCCCCTCTCCTCCTCCGCGCCCCCAGCGCCCGCACGTGGGACCTCCGCCCCGTGCCCCCTCCGCTCCGAGCGCTTTATTCCGCGTCGCGACGCACGCCACGTCCCCCCCTCTCCCCACCTGGGATTTTGGCCCCGTTGCTGGGCCCCGAGGGGCGATGTGTTGCCACCTCTTCCCCCCTCCTCCTCCTCCTCCACCTCCACCTCCTCCTCCTCCCCCTTCCTTTTTGTGCAAGAGCCATGGCACACGTGCCACGTGTTATATATATATATATACATACACATACAAGCACTTGCATAACACAACTCTCGATCTCTCTCTATACAAGTGGCACGTGTGTGCCCAGGCTGATTCAAAAAACTGAAGGGGCGTGTGAAACAGGCGTGACATACAACAGCGAAGTCGCACTCGAGCGCAAGTGGGGGCGCCACACCTTCCGATGTGTGTACCAGGCCCCCCCCAGGAAGCCTCAGGAGGCCCGACTTGGATACCAGAAGAGGCTCCAGGAGGCCCCAGGATTGTGTGTGTGTGATGTGTGCTCTGTGTTGTGCGTGCTTTTTGTGCGTTGTAGGTGTTGTGTGTGTGTGTGTGTGCGTCTGTGTGTGTGTGTGTGTTATGTTTGTCTAGCGTGTAATGTGTTGGGCGTGATTTGGGCCTCTGTGTGCGCATGTAGTTCTGAAGCCCCAGGAGGCCCCAGGAGACCCCAGGAGGCTTCAGGAGGCCCCAAGAGGCTCCAGGAGGCCGCCGGCGGCCCCAGGCGGCCCCAGGAGGTTCCAGGAGGCCCCCAGGAGGCTCCGAGGCGGGGCCTGGGGTACCAGAGGGTACGTCGGGGCTCGATTTTGGGAGGATGTTTCAGGCGAGACCGCCATTCTCTGTAACATGTTGAAGCTCCAATGTGTTTTTGTACCCTGATGTCACGATCTGCGTGAGGGGTGCCACCGGTTTTCAGAATTTCGAGAATGTCCCTAGCGAACGGCCAAGACCGCTCCAAGACGGCTCCAGGCGGCCACGGAGCCTCCCCAGGAGGCAGCCAAGAGGCCCAAACCCTTCCAACCCAAGGAACATGACTGAATGTTTGTTGCCTTGTCGCCTTTTTGTGTCCGATGGCCTTCCGAAGCCTCAAGGTGGCTCCAGGAGGGCCCATGAGAGCCCCAAGAGCGGCCCCAAAAAACCCAAGATGGCCCCAAGAGCGCCCGCGGGCGCTCCAATAACGCCCCAACAGAGGCCCAAAAGGCGATTCTAGGCGTTCCCGAAGGGGCGTCCTGATTGAAGCCCTCCCCTACTTTGATGGATCTCCTCCAATATGGCCCCAAGAGAGCCCCTAAGGCTCCCAAGAGCGACTCAGCAGGGCCCCAAGAGGCGCCCAAGAGGCCTCCAACAGGCCCCCAAGAGACCCCCAAGCGGCCCCAAGAGGCTCCCCGAGGCACCCAAGACGGTCCCAAGAGCCCCTAAGAGTGTCCCAAGAGCACTCCAAGAGAGACTCTTCCTCTGTGTGCTGTCTACTTCCTTGATCGAGGCAACTCCTTTGGGCATCGTCTCTGGATGGGCTGGTGGGCCTACTTTGGGTACGCAAGCGCACGATGCGAGTCGGACGCCGAGCAAGCAGGGGCAGGCGATGCCACCTGCGAAGGAAAAAATAAGGCAGCGAGCGCGCTGGGGCGAGGCGGAACTCAGCGCGGCGAAGAAGGCGCGATGGGGGGGAGCATCATCATAACCACGGAGTAGGGCCGCGCGCGGGGCCGCGCGGCCGGCGCGCGTTGCTCTCCACCTCGCGGAGCCCGGCCTCCACCTGGAGCCAGAGCTTGTTCCCCATGCTCGGCTACTTCTGCCCCGCCTCGCGGCTCTTGGCGGCGCCTCCGACGGAGGGGCCTCGCCAACCCTGCCAGCGGCGGGGCCCTGGGGGCCCGGCGCGAGCTGCGTGGCCGAATATCAAATGGTAGTCGTCGGGTAGGAGGGGCGCGACGCGTTCGTTGGTCGCGGCTGCAGGGCTTGAGCCTCGTGGTCGCGTGCGCCGCGCTCGACGGGGCCAATCTCGATTGGGGCGCGGTGCGCGACGCTCTGGCCCGGGATGCAGCGTCTGCGTCTGAGGGCTTCTAGCGCGCGACGCTGCGCGGTGGCGCGATCGGCAATGGAGCTGCGGCGTGAGACGCAAACGTTGGTGGGCGCGCCGCAAAATGACGAGCGCTGAGCTCCGTCGACCTTTTGGCGGCGAATGCTCCCGGACAGCGCGCGTCAGATTCTGCGAAGGCTGGTCGACGCCAGCGTGGGGGGCGCCGGCCTGGGCTGGAGGCGCGCCGGGCAGCGCGTTGGCCAGAGCCTGCGGTGGCGGATCTGCGACAGAGAAGAACTTCGACTCAAGCGCTTTCGCGTCGAATTAGATGAATTCTTCGAGGATGTCGGTGCAAGGGGGCAAGCGCGTCGGTCTGAGCCGCCGCCCAGATGGGCTCTCCTTCCTCGGTCTTGCCCGCGACCCGCATGTCGTCGTGGAACTGTCGAATCGATGGGTTGGCCGCAGGGGCGGGCCTGCCGTCGGCGGCGTCAACGACTGCGCGGAAGTTGACGGCGCCGAAGGCAACCGCGAGAAGCTGCTGGTTCTCGGATGGGCGCTGGGCGACGGACTGCCACCGCTTGACGCGCCTCGGGCGCGGTCGGTCGCAGCGGAGCATGATCCGGAGGCGCTGGAACACCTGCCCGTTGGTTAGGGCGCGCACGTGGTCGCCGGACTGGGTGGCCGCCTTTCCCTGGAGGAGGACGCGCGCGCATGTGGCGAGCTGGGCGTTGAGCGCGCGAACGTCTGACGGAGCAAAAGGGTCGCCCCTGGAGCAGATGAGAGCTTCGCGCCCAGAGAGCGCTGCGCCTTGCGCGCGGCTGGCGAAAACGATGGCGCGAAACTTGAGCGAGACGCGCGCCCTCCAGACCTTGCCCGCGCTGTGCCATCCTGCGGGCGGGCCCCCCAGGCGCATCTGTCTCTCGGGGGCGCAGCTGAGCTCATGAGAGTGCTGGCCGCCAAGGCGCCTGGCTTCGAGCAGGACTTTGCCGTCGTGTTCGGGGCGCTTCGTGAGAACGTCGCGCTCGAAGGCGGCTGTGCCAATCTCGCCGCCAGTCGGGGCGTTGTCCTGCTTGGACACGTTTTGGGGCGCTCCGAGGCGACCGAGGAGTGCGGCGATGGCTTCGTTCTGCTTTCTCGCACTCTGAACAAACTGCTCGGGCCGTAAGACAATTGTTTTGTGGCCGATGTCGTCGACGAACTCGGCGTGGGCGAGATTCGCCTCGCTGCCGGCGATGGGCGCGATGCCCTCGAATAGCTTGAAAGAGTCGTCGTGGTCGTGAAGCTCGGCCTTGAGGTTGCCGAGCGCGCGCGCGAAGAGGGTGGCAAACTGTCGCGCGGTAGCGTGATTTCCGGGGAAGATGCCTTCGCCAGGGCTCACGTGCACTGCCGCGGCGTGGTCTTCCATCACCAGGGTAGCCTTTTGGGTGCGCTGCTGCAGGAGAGGTACCGCGTTGGCTACCGTGGGCTCGGCCGCAGCTTCGACGACGACGCTGTGCTTGACGCTCGGGCGGCGTCTGGTGACGCGGCAATACCCTGCGCGTTTCAGGCGGTAGCAGAGACACACTTCACCGAACGTCGTCCTCTCTCGTCGTCGACGTCGCCCGACGCCGCCGCACACGCAGCGCGGCCACTTTTGCGGCGCCATGAGCACAGACCGGAAACAAACCGCGGCCCAATCCAAATAGCACCATGATCACTCGTTAACCGTCGCACCACAACTAGCCGTTCCCCTTCGCGAGCTTGGCGGCCATGGCCTGGCGCCACACGCGGGCAAGACGTTGGCTGACGCGCTGGCGCCGGCTCCGCGATGCTCTCTGATCGATGGCACCAGCTCGGGTCGGTCAGCGCACGCAGGACCTCAGATGACACGCTCCACGGGGGCCATGCCCTCCAGCTCTGCAGTTTATTGATTGCCTCCTCGAGCGTGGCGACGTCGTCCTCGCTCTCGAACCGGGCGTCGATCTCAAGAAGGGGCCGACGAGAAGAGGAGAGACATGACGGAGCACGTTGCAATGCCCAGGGGCCTGCGTCGACAGGGGCCCACGCCAGTGCCCCGCCATCTTTCCATGGTAGGTTTGGGCCAGCAGCGTCGCAGAACATCCTCTCTCCCCGCCAGGCCGTCGGAGCTTCTCCACCCACATCTGCGTTGACGACGTGGCTGAGGGCACGACGCTGTAGCGCCGCTGCTGGGTCCCATGTTCGTGGACGCGATGAGACGGCTCAGCTTGTGAACCTCGTAGGACTGTCGCTTGGTCCATGCCGCGTGCAGGGCGTCCTCCCTCTCGCGGTCGACCTGCTTCCAGTAGCGTTTGTTGTTTGCATTCAGTTGCCGGGACAGCCTCGTGATCTCCATGCTGAATTCGATGTCGTGGTCGGAATGTCGCTGTTCACGCTCTCGCACGTCTCGGCGCCGATGCAGTAGGTCGGCGAGCTGACGGATGTGCTGCCTATGACCCTCAGGGATGAGCGGTAAGTCCGCTAAGAGATGAACGGCAGAGTCGTAGATGATCTGCATGAAGCCGGCGGCGAAATCGCCGAGTGCGTGCTCATCGATGGCGTTGTTGACAAATCCGGCATGCTGCTGGAGACGCTGCTCGACCTCGTGGCACAGCTCCTCACGGCGGCGGCCGCGTTACAGGCACACCGATGCTACTTTTTGGTTGACTTTCCTGGGACCACCTGCTGTCCGGAGCACTGGTTGCAGAAATAATGTCAAATGCAAGGAACGTGGGTGCGCGGCCGATTTGCCCGCATCAGCTGCAGTCTGGCACCTGCGGACGGCAACGGACCCTCAGGGCCTGCGCAACGAGGCCCTGGTTGAAGTGTAACTCTGGGCCAACCACCTGCTCCTCGGAGCCTCTGTGCTGGAACGGGTCGTTGCGGTCCATGGTGATGATGGGCGTGCTGCGCGCCGGCGTCTCCAACAGAACGTGGGCAGCGAAGCCGATGAGCGTACCAACACAACGCTTGTACGCATCCCATTTGGCCCTGCTTGCTCGGCGCGGCTGCGGGGGAAAATGTAGAGCGAGGTAAGTCACATCGTGCCAGCCTTTCTGCACCCGGATCGCACCCGCGCGCCCACTGAGCTCGCGCGGAGGCGTGAACATATGCTTCACCATTCGGATTTGGTACCTCGAGCGCTGCAGGAGAATGGAGACCCCAGCGCTCTTGCTGGAGTAGGCGGGGCCCCTCCAGCCGACGTGGAACACGAGATGGCGTGCAGTTCGCCTGCGCTCGACGGGGTCCTTCGTGGCCTTGAACTGGGTGCCGACAAGGCTGATCATCTGTGCGCCGTTGAACTTCTGGCTGATGTCTGCGAGGCGCTGCGGGTGCGACAGCGTGAACGGGTTGAAATGGACTAGCTCGTGGAGGATAGCCGTGCAGACGAGTGGGGCCAGCCGCCCTCATGCGCCGTCTGAGGGGCGTCACTAAACATGCGGTGACTTCATATTTGTGTGGTGTCGGGCTGTGTCGCTCTCTGGTAAGGGTCTGAACCGAGTGGGGCGACTGTGAGGATGATAATGATGCTGATGATGATGCTGATGATGACGGTGCTGCTGCTGCTGCTGATGCTGCTGCTGCTGCTGTTTGTGACGATGCTGATGATGATTTGTAGGGGGTGTTCCTGCGCGGAGGTCCAGACAAAATAAGAAATCCATTTAGGACGTGGGAAAGCAGGCGGAACCTCAGCAAACAAATCCCGCTCTCCCTCTCTGTTCTGCCCGCCCCTCCTCCTCCTCCTCCGCCTCCTCCCTTCTTCCTCCTCCTCCTCCTCCTGCTCTCCTGAGCATCTTCCTCCTCCTGCTCCTCCTCACCGCCACCACCATCATCAATATCATCATCATCAGCAGCATCATCATCATCAGCATCATCATCATCATTATCATCATCATCATTATCATCATCATTATCATCATCATCACCATCACCATCACCATTATCATCATCATCATCACCATCGTCGTCATCATCATTTACAACAACAACATCATCATTCCCCTGCCTCATCATCCCCCTCCGTCTGCCCCCTGATCCTGGCCCACCTCCTTCCACATCCTCCTCCATCCTTCCTGCCATCCTCTCCTCGGAGGTTTTTTCTGCCCCGCCCCACGCGAAGGAGGGGCGCTCCCACCGCTCCTCCGCCACGAAGTCTGTGCCCATCGGTACCATGCCACACGGGCCCTCCGCTCTGAAGGACGGGGGAGAAGGAGAGGCAGGGGAAGGAAGGGGGAGAGGAAGAGAGAGAGGGGGGGAAGGAGGAGAGGGGAGAAGGATTGCGGGGGCAGATGGGGTAGCAGGGGATCAAGGACAGGGAGACGACAGGAGGGAGATGGAAGGGGTCAATCCTTGGAGAAGAGGAGGGGGATGGGCGAGGGGAGCCGGGGAAGGGCGGAGAGACGGGTAGGGGGAGGAGGGGAAAGCGAATAAGGGGGAGATGGGTGCTCTGGAAGATTGGCTGAGATCACGGTGGAAACGCCGCAACTGTCTAAGGGATGGACACCGTGAGAAGGGGAGAGGGAGGTGCTGGGCAGGGGGAAGGGGGGAGCGATAGAGGGGAAGGGAAGAGGCGGGAAAGGGGAATGGGGGGAGTGTGACCAGGAAAAGAAACGCAAGAGGCGCGGCGGGCCACATATAACGGCAAGCACAGAGGGAGCGTGGAAGGGAAAGTAAGAGGGAGGATGTCGAGAGCGAGAGAGAGAGAGAGAGAGAGAGAGAGAAAGAGAGATAGAGAGAAAGAGCAAGAAGGGGATGGGAATGGATGGGGAATGAAGGGAGAAGAGGGGGATGGAGAGGATGAGGAGAGAAAGGGATGGGACAATAAGAAAGGAGATGGTGGGAGGATGGGTCGGAGAGCGGGCGGGTACAGAGGGAGAAGGGGGGAAAGGGGGCCAGTGAGCTAATTGGAGAAGGGCTCAGGACAGACGGATAATGACAAACTTGTACGGGGAAGGCAAGGGGTAATGGGGGATGGAAGGCTGGGCGGGGACGGTGGGAGTGGGCGAGGAGGGAAGAGGGAGAGACGCAGATGGGGCAGGACCGAGTGGACAATACCAGGGCTACTCGGCCCATCCTGCGGTGGAGAATGTCGTGCCCCACCAAAAGCGAGGTGCGAATCCGACTTCGAGAAACCTTGAGTTCAAGCGCCAAGCAAGACCCTGGCTCCATTGGATCCCTGGCGTCTGCGGCCTGGATGAGGCGGAGGAATACGCTCCTCACGACGTTTTCTAGTTTGTTCAGTGCGACTGCATTCATGAAGACACCCTCGCGGAAATAAACTCGGCAATATCCAACGGCAGGGGACATCTGATCCGCTGGACGTGGCGGGACTGCACAGCTCACATGGAATACATGTCAAATGCCATGCCAAAACTTGCCTGGGCCATCAATCTGATCGCTTCTACTTATGCTATTTTGAAGACTTCGGCGGCAAGTGCTCGCCTATTGCGCGGCAACTGGCAACGCCTGGCTGACACAACGCGATAACATGTATATGCACACATGTGTATCGACACGTGTACATATATGTATCGATGAGAGTTTGGTGTATGGCACCGCTTTGCCACAACGGCTGGAGAACACCTTCCCCATGAACATTCCCATGAGTTACACACCGCGCGCTGAAAAGCACGTCCTCGAGGACTCCCTGCTTTTCGTGGGAGTGTTTAAGCGAACCTGTCCCTTGTTCCCATTCCTTGTCAGCTATCTTCACTATTCCCTGGGGGCTTCGATCGGAACACAACGAGGACGAGGAGGGAGGATAGGGGGATGCTGGCATGAAGAAGAGGCTGCGGGCGAAAGGGGAAACTCTCATGCCCGTATAACCCACCCGATCGCCACCTTAACACCCCCAAGGGATGCTGCGAAGTCAACGCAAAGTTACCAAAGTATTTACCAGGGAATGTTCTAAACATCCAAAGCGCGCCTGGAAAACAGTTGGCAACGTTGTGATTCTGGTAATCCACCACCAGAGCTGGATGAACCGCATGAAGATAAGCCGAAGGAGGAGGTGGATCCATGTGTTCCTTCCTCAAAGCTACGATGCGTTGTCCGAAACTCCGGCTCCTCCGTAAAAAAAAATCGCATCATCAACATCACCACTGTCATCGTCATCGTCGACGGACTCGTTCGATGAATCTCCCCCATCTGGTGCCCCTCCTGAGGTTCGCACAATGTTTTCTTGCAAGGGGGAGTCTTGATGCTGAGACTGGGCCCCTGGTCCCCGAACTACGACAACACGGCTCCCGCCTGGTAGTGGCTTCCTCACAACTTATTCAAAAATCGTGTTTTCGCGCGGGACTTCCTCATACTTTCTCCAAGAGCCGCGCTCTCGCGTGGGATTTCCTGGCAATAGATTGAAACGCAGCGCCCTCGACATTCAGGAATCACGCTCTTGCTCTGGACGTCCTCACGATTTATTTGGGGATCGCGCTATCGCTCGCGACTTCCTCACAATCCATGCGAAACTGATGCTTCAGCGACCCGCCCGCTCGACCCGGCCGTCTGGCCACGCCCGCTCGACCCGCCCGTCAAGGTCCGCACGCCCGACCCGCCCGTTTGGTTCTGCCGCTTGTTTTCCTGCTCCTGACCCCATATCCTGCTAATATCTTTCGAACTCCATTCGTCATTCTCCCCCTTTCCTGTTCCTTCCTCTCTTCCCTTGTCTTAAAGGCTGCGCAAACTACCCGTGGCAGGTGAGGAGGATATACCCTTAAAGGGATACGATCGAAGGTTTGGTAGACACATGCTGAATGACACGCGAAGAGGATCAGAACGGACAGTCTTAACATGATTGTTGATTTCGCATTGCTAGATAATGATAAGTGCTGATCCCCACCGGTGCCCACCTGATTTTTCAATAAGGTGCTCCTCCCGGGGCTCGCACCTTTTTTTAACAAGGAACAGCTTGCGCCTCAGATCGGCTTGCTGGGCCCCGAACTACAACAACAACGGCTCCCGCCTGATACCCCCGCACAAGTTATTCCCAAACCGCGCTCTCGCGCAGGCCTTCCTCCTAACCATTTATTCGGACGCCACGTCCTCGACACCCAAGAATCACGATCTCGCGTTTGTCTTTCTCACGATTTACGTGGGAATCGCGCTATCGCTAGAGACATCCATGCGATTCATGCAGGGCTCGCGCTTCAGCAACCCACCTGCTCGACCCAGCCGCCTGGGCCTGCCTTCCCGACCCGTCAGTTCGGTCCTACCCATCCGATCTGCCCGTCTGGATCTGCCACGTGCTTTGTGCTCCCAGCCACCATCCTGCTAATTTCTCTCGTGCTTCATCCTTGTCCCTCCCCCTTGTCCCTTCCTTCCGTCCGCTTGTCTTCCCCTGTTTTCGGGGCTGCGCCAAATATTCGTGGCAGGTAAAAGAAGATAGACTCCTACTGGGGCTACGATCGAAGACGACGAGGGCGGGTATCGAGGGCTTGGAATATACGTGAAGAGTGGCACGCGAACAAATCATAATGAACATTCTTAAAATAGTTGTGGCTGTTGTTGTTGGTGTTTGTGTTGTTGTTGTTGTTGTTGCTGTTGTTGTTGCTGCTGGTATTGTTTATGTTGTGGTTGCTGCTGATCTTGTTGTTGATGGTGTTGTTGCTACTGTTGTTGGATATGCATAACTAAACATTATTACTGTTGGGCCCTCTGTAGGCGCCCTGGCGCTCTCGCCTCGGCGCCGGCTGCATTTCCTTTGAAAATCCAGCTCACGCTCAAGCGTTTCGGGGTGCCGCCGCAACAACAACAGCAGCAGCAACAACAACATCACCAACAGCAACAACAACACCACCAACAACGACGCAACAACAACATTTTACTCTCCGCCGACAGTCGGCTTTCCTAGAACACAAGCGCTGTCGCTCGATATTCCCCCTGCTTTTTACCCATGATGAAACGACGCTCCCCCTCAATACTTCCTCCGCTTTTATGTATGAACGCCCTGAGGCTTCCTTAGTCTCTACTGAACATCAAAAAATATTCGTGAGCGCCCCACATCCGGGCTGGCGCTCTCGCCTCGGCGCCGGCTGCATTTCCTCTGGCTTTAACGCTGAAAATTCGGCTCACGCTCAGGCTACTCAGGGTTGTGCAGGAATGCGCCCCCAACAACAATGACCACAAAAACAACAGCAACAGCAACACCAACAACAACAACAGTAGCAACAACAACAACAACAACACTCATTTCAAGACTATTCGCTCTTATGTGCTCGAGTTTCATTCAACGTGTATTTCCAGAACCCTCGATACCTACCCTCTTCGTCTTCGATCGTACCCCTTGTAGGGGGGTGTATCTTTCTTCCCTGCAGGCCAGGCACCAGCAAACGGCGAGGCGGCCGCGGACCGTCGGCCTGGCCAGCGGCAGCGCTGTTCGGCGGCAGCCCGACCTCAAGAGCGCCGGACAGGGGACCGACCACGACGACGACGACGACGACGATAACGAGCGAAATCGAGAGCGAGAGCGAGAGCGACAGCTGGACCAAGAAGGGCAGGAATGGGGGCCACGCAGGGCGACAGCGGGGCCACGAAGGGCATGCGTATGTGGCCACGAAGGGCGCGAACGAGCGGGGGCCACGAAGGGCAGATAATGCGGGGCCACAAAGGGCAAGGACGGGGCCACTGAGGGCAGCAACGGGGTCACGAAGGGTAGCGAGGGGGCCACAAAGGGCGACATCGGGGCCACGAAGAGTATGCATATGGGGCCACGACGGGCGCGAACGAGCGGGGGCCACGAAGGGCATACACATATGGGGCCACGAAGGACAGCGAGGGGGCCACGAAGGGCTGCAACGGGGCCACGAAGGGAAGCGAGGGGCCACGAAGGGCTGAAACGGGTCCACGAAGGGCAGCGAGGGGGTCACGAAGGGCAGCGAGGGGGCCACGAAGGGCTGCAACGGGGCCACGAAGGGCAGCGAGATCCCGATTCCTAAATAAGCTGTGGGGGAGTCCTAAGCGTGAGTGCGACTCCTGGGTGCCTGAATGTCGGGAGCGCGGCGCTTAAGTAAATTGCGGGGAATTCCAACGCAAGAGCGCGATTCGTAGTAAAGTGCAAGACTCCAGTGCGCCGAGAAAAAGATTCCTGAATACATTGTAAGGAAAACCCATGCGAGAGCACGATTCCGGAGTAACATGCGAGGAAATCTCAGGCCAGAGCGGGGGTCCTGGCTAAATTGTGAGGAAGT